GTAGGCACAGGCCCAGTCACGAAGAGAGCAGGCCTTGGGCCTGAAGTGGTTGCATGCGCCCAACTGCTTTCGGCCTGTGTTTGGCCCGGTACCCGAATCCAGCCCAGGGCCTGCTTCACATTCATTTACACAGGCGGCCCAGGGCCTGGATTCATTCAACCAACTGGCGCAACTCAACTGTCTGAATTTCCCCGTTGCGGGGTACCCTGAAGAATGAGGCCCGAAGGGCCTGTCGTGCCTGCCTTCACTTAGGGCGGCCGACCTTGTTGCAGATAGGGCCCCATAGGGGCTAAGCGGGTGTAGCCTCGCAAAATTCTTTTCCCCCCCCCTCCATCCTAGAATCGATAGGTGGACGTAATACTGATCAATGCAAAAAGAAAAAAGGAAAAAGAAAAAAGAAAAAAGAAGGGGGGAAAAAAAAAAGCATCTGCTTTCCTTTCTTCAATCTAAGAATTGTCTGCCGAATCTGCTTGACGATGAAGTTTAAATTCTTGTGTCTATACTTATCAGTCTTGGAAAAAAAGTTAAAAAACTGATATTGCAATGGAAGCATCTATCTCTGATCATGTAATTCAAAATTATTGTCTATACTTGTCAGTCTTGGGAAAAAAATCTGATATTGCAATAGAAGCATCTATCTCTGATAATGTAATTCAAAATTATTGTCTATACTTGTCAGTCTTGGGAAAAAAATCTGATATTGCAATGGAAGGCTGGAAGCATCTATCTCTGATGCAATAAAAAAATATTGTCTATACTTGTCACAAGTTATCAGTCTTGGAAAAAACTGATACGGCAATGGAAGGATGGAAGCGTCTATCAGATTCTATCTCTGATGTAATAATTTTTTTTTTGTCTATACTTATCAGTGTTGGAAAAAGTGATATTGCAATGGAAACATCTATATCTCTGATGTAATAAAAAAAATATTGTTTATAGTACTTTATACTTATCAGTCTTGGAAAAAGTGATATTGCAATGGAAGCATCTATCTCTGATGTAATAAAAAAAACAGACTCAGGCACAACTGCTGACAATAGTGAGAGGTCGTGTGATCGAATTGCAATGGAAGAACCAATCACTGATGTAATAAAAAAAACAGAGTCAGTCACAAGACTCAAAGAAAACAACTGACAAGAGTGAGAGATTGTGTGATTAGACCCCAAAGAAGGAAATGAAAGATCGTGTGATCAAATCTGGACCACAGATTTGAAGATCGCATGATCAAATCCCAGGCAAGGAAGAAGAACAAGGGAGCAGGGTCAGTCACGACCGAATTTTGGGATGAAGAAGGGTCAAAGGAAAAATGGACGGAAAGAACAACAGCCCACCTCCGTGCAAAAGGTTGAAAAGAAAAAAATGGTGCGCTACCGTCTTCACCCAAAGTGAACGTATGGTCATTATCCCTGTATCTAGACTGAAAGTCGACCCAACATACAGGTATAATGACCGTACTTTTTCTATTCGGGAGGAAGCCGGTAGTAGTTATAGTCGAGCAGAATGTGCCTTTCACTAGAAAATAAAAATAAAAATCACTCTGTAGAATTCCGAAACAGGCTATCAAAGTAGTATCCAAGAATAATAAAAGTTACCTCTAGGGGTCGAGGGATTTAAAAAAAAAAAAAAAAAAAAAAA